AAAATGGAAGAAAAAAAAATTTTTCAACCTTTTTTTTTTTTCCTTTTCTAAATCATCTTCATCCCCCCATTACAAAATGGAATCATATTCAAACCAAAACGATGTTCATATTTTAGACAGTTTGTTTTTGTTTCTGATTGTTAAGAAGGAATTTTTAAAAAAATTTTACACCTATTCCCTGCAAATTTTAACTTCTAATGTAACACTATCGTCATTAGGGGTCTAAACTTCAAAAAAAATCTCTACACTTAATGATAATGCTTTCACATTTTATTGTTTTTAGCCCAATGGGTTTCTAAAAGGAAAAATTGACCCAAACCTTACTAACTGCTTTGAAATTATTTTGACAGAGACAGAGACACACTTGACACTCCATCCCCTTTCCTGGGGGATTTTAAAATTTAATTAAAATTGATAAGCTGGATAAAGTTGAAAAATGAAAAAATTCATCAAACAGAATATGCATAAATTTTACCACATCAGACATGAAGTAGTGATCCTTAAATAAAAACCCACAAATGAACTATTTTATTCCTTTGGGATATCTAGTATTGTTTCTTTTTCCCGTATGCCACCTCTATCAGAACAAAATGTTATACACGTATAAAGCCATTTTGAATGTTTGAAATTTTTTGGGGTGGGATGCAATCAAATTTCTCCAAACTCTCTACATAAAAGCAAAACCCTAAACTGAATAACAAAAATTGGTTTATGTTTTATAGTTACCATGGGAACATGTCTTAAAATTGAAAAATGGCATTTTTTAACGAAGCCCCATGTTAACATGTGGGGAAAACAAACAATTGGCAATGACTGTTTCCAAAAGTTGAAGGTAAGATTTCTCAAATGCATGATAAACATGTTTGGTAAATCAACTATTACATACGTTACTATGGTAACAAAGTATTCAAAAGTAAAAAAAAATATTCATTGAATTTTATAAGGTCATACACGTAAAAATAAAAAAGCAATTATAGGGTGAGATGTGACCAAATAATAGAAAAAAGGGCCTTGAAACATATACCAAGAACAACATATGATATTTCATTTTGGTTGGCAATGGTTGTCAAGGTTTTTATACCACAGAGAGCCTTCAAAGTAACACTCTGATCCTATCTTTTAAAAAAGCACATTTCCTCATAACTAATGATCAATTTTATAAGATGTTGGAGTGCTCCAAGTTTTCCCATTTGAAAAAATTCAGATTAGATTCCTTAAATAGAGCGTTGCTATGGAAATAAGCAGAAAATATATGCTTAAAAACCTGAAAAATATTTTCTTTCCTTGGATACGTACCCTTAAATGTAGATTCCCAAAACTTTTATGATTGATATTTATTAACAGCTAACTTGACTTTTAATTTTGACTATTCAATCTCAAGGTGGATGCAAGAAGTTGGCACACAGGGTTTAATATAGATATAAAGTTCACAAAATCGAACATTTTCCCTTCTTGGTAACCATAGAAACAGTGTTGTTTTATTCATCAAATTTTATCAATATATGATATTCAACTTCAGTTCTAACAGATAAGTACTATTCAAGCTGAGTCGAAAAATAATTCATTTTTAAGCACTGATACTTTGTTTCCATGGTAACACTGCAAAGAAGCAATGATACCCAATTTTTCTTATGGTTTTGGTGTTGCAAGGTCCTAAGGATGCATATTTGCCAGTCTTGAATTTTCATTTTTTCCTCAAGATAGTAGCATTATCCCAATCTTAGTTACTGGTTTTGCATGGTTACACTGTGTTACCATTGCAACCATAAAAGTTATTTATAGAATAATATTGCTTATACTTATACACTTAAGGTCAAACATTTTCATTGTTTTCTTAAGTCGTTGATTGAGTTTGCGCATGTAGCACCTACATAAGTGAATACGGAGTGTTTTTCAGCATATTTCAGCATTTTAAATGTATTCCAAATGTACCCTTGGTTACCACTTACTTTTGAGATATATTCTAAACAGTTTCTTTACAGTATAAGTGACATCAAGGTGTCATGTTTTTGTGAGAATGGTTTGTTTGCTCTTTCTAGTTTTTATTAAGCCACAGTCAAGATTTCAAGTGGCTGAAAATCTCGATTTTTCAAACTTTTCCGGCTGTTGCCATAGCAACCGAGATACATAGCAATGAAATTTTGTTTGACATTTGTTTCTGGTGTCAAGTACTAAGCATTGGTGAAGTTTCATCAAAATCGGTGACGATGCGTAACAACGAAGTTTTTAGTGGTCACAGAGAATGGCTATTAATTATTTACAAATTGAAATTACAAAAATATCTGCATGAACTTCAAATATTAGCTACATTTTTCAATATATTTTTAATTACTTGTTTGAATCCCAGATAACTGCAAAATTAATCTTTCTATAGACCGAATATAAAAAAATATCTTCTTTAAGTGCCCGCTAAATAAATAAATTTTCAGTTATTTTAGTTTAAATTCGATATTGAAAACTATAAAAAATGAAAACTATAATGAAAGTCCATGAAGCTTATTTTGGTATGTAAACAAAAAATACATTTTTGGCGTTATAATTTAAAAGTTTTCCGATGATTCGAAATCGAGCTTTCTAAGCTACATAATTGCAGTTAGTATGAAATGAAATTTTTTTTCTACGCAATACTTGGCTATGTGAGGTTAAAAGATTTGCGATGCTTCGATAATCGCCTTACAAAGCGAAAAATATTTTTGACCTACGAAAATGAGCTCCATGGGCTTTCTTAAGCTATACATCATTGCAGTTAGTATCAAATGAAATATTATTTCTATAAAAAGTTTGGCTATCTGAGGTTAAAAAATAACACTATATGTGATGTTTAATTATATTACAGTGTAGTCCAAAATATTTCACGTTTTCCTGGTTTACCTTGCATTTCCTTTGTTTACATTTTAATGCAGTTTCGTTTTAAAAGATGCTGTCTGCGTATATCAACAGCAGTATACTAATCTTTGGTACCTAGCCTCCATTACACGGGTACCGGCGTGGAATTATCCTACCGAGTATGTGCTGGTTTACCTTGCATTTCCTTTGTTTACATTTTAATGCAGTTTCGTGTTTAAATATGTTTATTTGTATAAACAGCAGTACTGCACTAATCTTTGGTATCCTAGCCTCCATTACAAGAAGTATAATTATTATTATCCTACCGAGTTCCTTGGTTTTCAGTCTACACCGGTGACGCATATGAAAACCTTCTTCTACCAATTGTTTTAGTCATGTTTTATTTCATGATGAACATTTGAAGAACAAATAATTTATTCTGCCTTTTATTGAAGACAATTCTGGAGTCGCAGTATTCTAAAATCCTTGGTTTTCATAACCATATATAACATGTTCATATTTTAGAAAACCTATCTATACATTGTTTTAGTCATGTACATATTTCATGATGAACATTTTTTGAAACAGATGATTAACAATTTTATTGAAGACAAACACGTCATACTTTCAGTTAAGTGTAAATCTCTTCTTCATAACCACATTAACATGTTCTTATTTTAGCAAACATAGTTTGTTATATTTACAAATGTACATGTTCGCAGAACCACATTGCTTTTGAAACAGATCGAAACAATTTGATTTCAAAAACACGCATACTTTCAGTTACATGTAAACTCGGTTAAATATCCTTCCCACTTTACCTATTTGGAGAAAAATTTCCAATATCCCACCAATATCCCACCACTTCAAAGTGTTAATTTTGCAAATTAAAAGAAGAAGGAAATCGAAGATCACGTGAAGCTGACAGATCTTTGTTTGTCACGCCTCTTCCGGTCGCCCTCGTCCTCCTCACACGAAAGTTCAGTAATGGGGTCAAAAGTCCACCCAGGGAGCGGGGAATAGCCGATAGGGAGGACATTTGATTTACTCATATCCATCCAATAGATTAAAAACATTTATCCGGGTTCTTTTAGGAGCAGTGCGTCATTTAGATGTTATATTATTTAAGCAGCACGTACTCGGTTCTGAAATTGTAATTTACATAACTGAACCCACACTCCTTTGCTGAAATAATTGGAAAACAAAACATGATTTGATTTACTCATATCCATCCAATAGATTAAAAACATTTAAGTGTAATCCATTTAGATGTTATATTATTTAATTTATCGTACCTGTGATGAGAACTTTACAATATGGCGTCACCTTACGCACGGTTTTCCGTTCCATTTAAGAGATAGTGACATTTTTTAATACTTCAACAAATTTTTCAGTCTAAGACATTGTATATGTGTATGCATACCCGAAATACTTGAGGGGGTCAGGGAGGGATCCCCATTACATATCACATGACATAATACTTCAACAATATTTTTCGCGACTGTTGTATATTTGCCTTTTTTATTACATACATTGCGTACTTTTTGCAAGTAAGTGATAATAACAATTTCCAAACACATCCTTAAAAAAATGATTTATGAACACAGATTGTTAAAATTTTGCTTTTTTTATTACATATAATTGCGTTGAAAATTTTTGCAAGTAAGTGATAAAAAATTTCTTTCTCCTTAAAAATAATGTTTATGACTATCTCAAGTAACTAATGATAAGAATACTTCCCGTTTATCAAGAGATTTAAAATCATGACCATATTAAGAAAATTGAGATTACATACAAGGAGATATCAAAATTGAAAACGTTAGGTGATAAGAACTTTGATATAAGTTTTATTAAAATTAAAAAATAAAAAAAAATTATGATATTCAAATAAATATGGAAACGCAATATGAGTGATCTCCCACAATAAAATTATTACGATTTACAGCATATCAGTTATTACATTAATTAACATGATTAAAATTAAAGAAATAACCTGAAGTTATCTTCTTTTGAATTTTTTTTTCCATGAAACAAACGTTTTTATGATCACTTTTTAAAGGATTAAATCGCCGCTGTTTATCAACTCTTTTTGGTTGCTGAGAATTTATTCCGAATTAAAACTGGAACACAAAACACGGTGCGTCCGTGAAAGCAACTTTTCTCTTTTTTGGTTGTCATGTCCAAGTTTTGTCTGGGTCTTTATCTGAATATTTCAAAACTTTTTCTTCAATCGACACTTTCCTGACGATTTCTTTCCTTTCCTTTCCCGCCCTGTAGCTGTCGTCTGCTAGGTAAGCGGAAATGAGGCGCGAACTCCGGGAATCTGTGTCGGGATCTTTTGCGCTTTGCTCGTCGCTCGGATTCCAAACTTCTCCAGAAATTGACACTTTTCTTATTGTTGAACTCTCTAAAAAAGAAACACTGTAATTATTAACATCTGGTTAGCATTAGAATTTGTATTAATTCGATTTAAGTATTTACAGGAAGTGAAGAATATACTGTTTGTGCTTACTTTTTGAACTTCCATTATTTTCCGCCTGTAAATAGAAACAGATAAATGATTCAAAGAGAAAAATTGTAAAAGAAAATCTTATTAAAAATATTTTGTTATTCAATCATAAGTATTTATGTAAATGCTTTAAATTTAAATGTACCATGAAACATTTAAAAGGCATGATTTATGATAACATTATTTTGTCGTCCTGAATATCTCACATTCGAATTTCAAATAAAAAAAAATAATGACTCACATTATAAAAATATAAAATAATCAGGATGAACATATTCAGTATTTATTTTATGTTTAGTTTAATTTAATCAACAAACTAAACTTATTTAAAGCCAGGATCTATTTCAGAACAGAGAGCAGTGACCGTTATAAGACCGCGGAACATTAACTGGCAAAATTGGAAATATACAGCTTACGTCATTTCTATCTGTTACAATCAAAACATTCACTGATAGACAATGAAATGGGCGGGTACAATTCGACGCGGAATTTGAAAATACAACTTGGATTGAAATTGCAGATCGAAATTCATTTTCAATCCACCTCAGATACGCTAGAAAATGCACATTATTACTGATTGACCAAGATAACTTTTTTGGCACAGTTTGACAAATAAATAAGGATGGTTTCAGATTTAATTTTTTTTGTCCAGGTTTTTAAATAAATTAATATTTAAGGAAATTTACTATTTCATTTCTGTTTGGTAAATATATGTATACCTTTGTGTTTTTTGGGGGGGGGGCTATCGTTTTTTGATCCTTAATCCAACAGTTTTCAGTGTTGAAAATAAGTATGTGGCAACTCATGCACTCTTATAGTCCTAGAAATAAAATATATTGTCATGTTTAAAGGCCATGACCTGACTCGACAAAATTTTTCTAGAATCAAATATCTCCTGAAAAATAATCTTTGTCTTATATGATCTTTTGCGTTCTTAAAATTATAAGCTAAAATTCATATTAATGTGAACTTCAAACAATATGTATTTGGAAGTTGAATTATAGTTGATTTTTGGATCATACATTCACTCTTTGCTTTGAAAACAGCTGAGGTGGATTGAAAATAAATTTCGATCTGCAATTTCAATCCGATGTTTTCCCCACGTTCGCGTCAATTGTACCCGCCCATTTCATTGTCTGCATGTTTTCATTGTAATGATATACGCTGTATATTTCCAATTTTGCCAGTTAATGTTCCGCAATCTTAAATACATAAAGGATAATAACGACCAGCTGAAGTTTGGAAACTAAAACCTCATGAAACAAGAAAAATGCTTCCGTAACATCTATTATTGTATTAAAAACATGTCCAAATTTTAAAATCAAAAGTGGTAGTTAATGAAATAAGTTCAGAAATATTTGAATGTAATATAGAAGTTCGACAAGGGAAGAATTTGTCGCCATTGTTATTTTCATTGTACTTGAAACATTTATCTGGAAATAAAGCTAAAGGTTTATCATGTTTGCCAGCTCTTTGTATTATTGTGTGCTGATGCTACTATTTTGTTATCTGAAAACCCAGATGATTTTTAGTACATGCTAAAAACGTTTTTCTAAATATTGCAAAAATTGCACCTTAAGGTTAATAGTAAGAAAATGAAAGTTGTAATATTTGGAAAAGGAAAAAATGACCCTTTTACATTTGAGGGCTTATTTTATGACGTCATCATTCAATGCATGTTTTAGAGATTGTAAGAACTTCAAGGAAAAGATTAACAATAATTTTTTTATGTTATAAAGAAAAACTTTGAAAAACTAACTTTGGCATAAATACATGTAAATGAATACTTAAAACTGAATAATTGAATTTAAAAAACGTAAAGATATTCTTAATGATACTTATCGTTATTATTATTGAAATAAGCACACCGTTCATTTCTCCGATAATGTAGCAATATTAAAGAAAAAAATGTGTCGTCATCTTTCAATGTGCATTTTGGATTTAAAATTAGCCTACGTCTACGTATTTATTTACATGAAGAACTCAACTGAGATATTTAATTCTTTATTTAACCTCATATAAGCATAGATTGATATTGTGTTCAATTATAATGCTTTACAACTTTAAATGAATGAAAATTATTTATTTTAATAAAACGACATAATTCATTGCCTTAATGTAACAACTTTGTTTGGAAGCAAAATTTAAAAATTGTTTAATTCCTCTGTCTATACCTGACTTTTCTCTATATTTTACCGTTAGGTTAAAAACAAGTTGAAACACTTCACACTACAAAGGACATTATACAATGTCAAGTCCAATTTTAAAATTCATTGGCAAGGCAGGGTTTCAGAGGAGAACAAGTTTTTATAGTGTTTTTTTCACTTATAAAAACACACTCGGAGCTTCTCGGGTGCATGGCACGTACATGTACCTCGCACACTAATCTCGGACGTCAAAGGTGTTCTACCATCTTGCTGATTCCGTCATATGATCTCATTAGGGCTCCGCAAGGACTTGCAGTTGACCAAAAGTAATCACTTTGTCTGTCCGTCCATCCGTCTAGCTGTCTGTCCCTTTGTCATTCTTCTGTCCACAAAATGTTGATTTTTATATAATTTTTTATTCACATTTAATGATCAATTACGTTCAAATTTTGTTTTTGGTTAAATAGGCAGTAAGACATTTTTTGATGTTTAGCTTGTTTCTATATGTCTCTGACAGGGTTCTCCATCATTTGAAAAACTGTGGCGCAAAACTAATGCGAAGTGGTAAAATTCGCGGTAATTTCGCGACGGAATTTGCGAAGGAACCAAGAAATGATTTAAAATCACAGATGCTGTGATTCACTTGTTTCATTTAGACAAAACTGACATTTATCATAATAACCTATGATGAAACAAATTTTTATTATAGAATCTAAAATTAACAATGCCAGTTGTTTCATAATATCTCTATAGTAGTTTTTATAGAACAGAGAAAAGTCTGGTAGGTCACACATTTACGCCGATATCATTGTATACATTTGCAATTATTGGATTGAAAATTAAAATATCTTTTAATCTGTTGCTTTAAAAAACAAATTAATTTTAAGAAATAAAATAATATTTTCGTGGATGTATTGTTAATTTTCAACATTACAATTTAAAAAAAACACAATCCAGACACGTACAATGTTTTGACTTGCATTGCTAATGCAATTTTGGAGACGCGGTTATCTTCAAGCATGTTTAGAACTACTGTATTAAAGCATGAATTAATTGATATTTAAAAATTTCAATTGTGGTTATTGTGAAGTTTGAAAAAACGGTTTATCTCTTGCCATTCATGTGTCCAGTCAATCCTATCAGGAAAAATAAAAGAGGTAATTGATTGTGCAAACCAAACAATGGCCCTAAATTACAGCAAATTAACAGTTAAACATTAGCAACTGAAAAACGGTACATAATTTAATTTCATTTGGTTTATAAATTTTTATCACACTAACGACGTTAATCTTACGTTGGCGCTAATGTTTTAACTGTGGCGGAAGTGGCGCTGATTTTTTTAACTGTGGCTGGGCGGCATGTTAAACGGGCAATGGAGAGTCCTGCACTGGTTTGGAGGTTAGGTGGTGGGGGTAGATTCCTTAACTTTAAATAAGAATGAATTGGCAAAGAGAGTTAGGCTTTATTGCTGAAATGTTCCCATTGTAAACTGTGAAAGATACAATCAGTCCCTTGGGATTAATTAGCTTTCATCTTGTAGGAAATCCAAAGCATATTCTTAGTACTGCACATTGAGATTAATTACGATATTAGTTCGATTGAATTATCAAATTACAAGCCAGTCGAATGAATTTAAAAATAAAAAGACATCATGAAGTATAACATTTTTACGCTTTCGGATGTATCACTAAACTCAAAGATATTCAAAGATATTCAGAGCAAAATACAAACTAACCATGTAACTTGTGATCAAATCCTGTGAAGGCCGAAGGCCTTCTCAGAAGAATTTGAATCACGTACCGACCCACTTCAATTCCCATTGAAGTTTATAAACTTGTTATTTATTACTTATATATACATTTGAGACAGACAATTGAATATTTTTAAGAATTTAAATTATTGCACTAACCGTCCGTCGTAGATTTTGAAAAATTAAGTAAGGTGTAAATCGGCTTGCATGGCGGTTACGCTTCGAATTCATTAGGCTAAGGAATATATTTCGAAGGGAATATTTTGTGAAAGGCTACTTGTGATCAATAATAGTGAACAGATTGTTTTCTGGGAATATTTTTTATTTGTGAAAATTGATAATCGATGCTGAAAAGACACAAGAAACACATAGAAGTCTGATGATAAACAGTTGGAGGATTTTCGGGCCCGAAAGGGATGGATGGATCCGATCCAATGGATTGAGACACTTGTCCGAGCCAGTTATTTTGCAATTTGATCAAAAACATTCTACGATTTCAGTAACTAAAGGCATACTTATCATAAAACACTGATAAACACGGAGACACTGGCGACAGCTTTACATTGAACTACGAAAACGCCGAGGTGTTTGGCAGCTGTTCATGGCATGATTGCAATGATATTTTCCAACAGATTTACGCATTTATCGTGAGTAGAATCTAAAGATAAAATAAAAGTTTATCATGAAAATTTAACCAAAGGTCTACACAAAAAATAGGGATGAACGTTAGAGAGTGTGCAGCTGACAAAAGTGAAAAAAAATGTAAACAAACGCTAGACTAGATTCCTCTACGTACACAGCTTGTATCGATAGCCAAAAAACTGTATGAAATACTTGTTTACATTGTAAATAAAATAATTATCATTTAAATGGCTTATTTTGTTCATTTTTATACAAGAAAAGCAAGTAGAGCAGGTCATTTTATAATTTATGTACCAGTAGATATTATTGCGCCGTGTGATTAGGCCACGTATTAAGACCTCTGACCCTCTGACAAACTTCATACAGAATTGAAGATATTTTCTCTCTGTATGTTTATATAATGGAGAGATACCACAAATGTATATATATCGATATATTAGGACATTTCTGCTAACGATCATACTCTCTAAACCGAAAATCTACTGACAAATTTGTTGATTTAATATTAGTATCTATAATGTAAATAAAAATCACTTTGATTGTTAAAGCTATCTTCTTTGCAACTATAACTTTTTTTTATATTTCGACAGTCGGCGAATGTTTTTTTTAAACAAAGTAATATTGAAACGATATATCTATTTACTGATTTATCTATTGGAAAAATATATAGCTTGCATTTTACTGTATATAATAAATCATAGTAAATATTAAATACCTTATAAAATATTTCAATAGATCATGCTTTATAACTAAAATAAAATAATAGCAAAAAACTGAATTCAATTTTAGAGTCTCACATTGATTTTGAATGAATGAACATTAAAATGGTCTCTAGTGCTATATTCTATGAAGACAACTTATGAAACATATATCGGGAATGTTTTGAGAAGTTGTTTCTCTTTTCAGAGAGTCGTTCAACCTTAACCTAATTAAGAGTTGAAAATATTAAATACTTCCTCGTCAACATACAAATATTATCCCAAAGCGGAGGATGCATTATTTAGATTGTTGGATACCTTAAAACATTCATATTTGATGAACAGACTTTTTTTTCTATTTTGAAGATGATTCTGACTTTAGTTCTTTGTGTCCTGTTTTACAAACCTGTGAATGGAGTTTGTCCTGACCCGTGTAACTGTGAAGAGTCGCAGGAATGTAGCGGGATATATGTAAATTGTTTTAATAAAGGATTTGCAAAGATACCTACCAACTTCACCAATGACACTTGTATATTGTAAGTAACTATAAGTAACCATGTCTCCAGATGTATCTAAACTATGCGAATTTCAAGGTTAAAGATATTAATGTAGACTCAAATTAATCTATCCCATTGTAATTTATTCTTTATTCAATTTCACCATTTTACTTTTCCCGATTTAATATTTTGAGAAAAAGTCACCGAAAGCAGGTTTGCTCAGGTTCAATATTTTGAAATAATGTGTAAAATGATAATATCAATAAAATATGTTAACTTAATAATGTTCTTGGGCAGACATGCGCTATATTTAATTCACAGTAAAAAATCGGTTAAATTTTGTTTCTTTCTTCCCCTTTCTAAAAACTAATACAAAATCCGAGTTGTTTGTGGCATCATAATGTATTTACAAACTTTTAACTATGTTAATTTCTTGAAGTGTTCTTCTTGTGAAAATTGTCCACACTGATTGCCCATTAGTGAATTGATATTTCGTACATAAACTATTTAAATACGCATACCTCTTAAAAGTGCGCAACTTCCTGAAACAACTGGTGTGCAAACTGCCATCATTTTACTCAAATCGAGGGACTGCTGGGATAAGACTTCAACGTGTTTTGGAGTTGGAATAACCTTTTTTGTGTGAGTGTTGAAGTTTCGAACTTTCTGTCTCTTATATCGGTCCTGGGGTGTAAAGGGGTTAAATTGATCAACGCGATATCTCTTCCATTGACTAACGGTAGAAAATCTTGTCACAAATTTCTCGCCTGTTGCAGTTGATTTGATATTGACAGGTTTCAGATCAGGTCCCGTTATGTACCAGTTTGGAGGAATATCAGATCTCGCTACTGCCCACCATTGTCCAAAGAATTCGATATAGTGAAAACCATTAGGAGTAATATCTGGAAAATCCGCAGTCGGGGTCATACTGAACAAACTACCTTTAACGTGATTTAATTTCACTTTATAGTTCGTTAAAATGTATCCCTCCGGCGAAGGGAGATGGTCTGGTTCAATCATGAAGAAGCTATAAAAGTAAATGGACCAGTTGTCAGGTCTGATGGTTTTACTTCCGGTATTTGTGAGAGTGAGACTCAATCTATGTTTTGTTCCGTCGTATTTTGTGTTATCGAAAACTGAGAGTTTTACATCCAGATTTGCAGCAATATAATCTAAGTCGGCCTGTTGCAAGGCGTCAGCAGATACTGAAATACATCGGAAAAAAATTTTCACAATTTAATTCTAAAATAATTTTTAATCCATAGTTTAACAAAAATACAGGGTATCCTATATCGAATTACACGGAGTACCCCATCCAAGAATCGCACTCACTTTTCAGATGAAACGCACAAACTGTTTATAGCCATTGTCTTCTACGGTATGTTCGAGAGGGACGTTAAACAAAAAAAAAATCAATCAATTTACGGTGTATTATCTAACTTACCATATATGAAAAGCTCGTCTTTATTTTCTTTAATCTGTATACAGCATCAAACATTTCTTGCTGTTTGAAAAAGGTTTGCCAGAGCGTATTTTCTGAAAGTGTATATGAATGCAATTCTGGGGACGGAGGAACTCCGTGTATTTTAATGTTGGATACTTTGTGTTATAATTATACAATCGGTTAAAAATTGAATACCGATATAAGTGCCTGTGCTACTGTAGCCTACAGGGTATTACTTATTTTTATCAAAGTACTATCATTCTAATAAAAACGTGTCACTTTGCTTGGTCGACCGTGGTAAAAATTTCACAAATTGATAACAATATCATTCATCGATTGGATGTTTGATTTGAAAGAAATCAAAGCTACTTTGCATATAAATAACAGAATTCAACAATACCCTGATAACATTGACCAATCGTATTGAATGATTGTTTTCCAGCACGGCATTTGTAGCCACCGGCAACACGTGGTAATTCAAAGCCCGTTTACTGCGAAAAAAACGTGTCATATTTGTTGTGGTTTGACCGAATGGAGTCAATTTTGATACGAATGAGAATATTTAAAGCATGAAATAAGTAAGGCTATACTTTGAAACTTTTATAATAATTATTTTGTATATAGCGATCAATTCCATTATCATAAGGATAAAAACTTGCTTTGCCTGTCCACATGTGACTATTGTTTACTGAACAATCATTCAATACGATTGGTCAGTATTGTATGTGGTATTGCTGGGTTCTGTATTTCATATGCAAATTAGTACTGCTTTCATTGAAATCAAACATCCAATCGATGAGTAACATGCTAGTCAACATGTGAAACTTTACCACTCTCGGTTAAGCAAAGCGACACGCTGTTATTGGAATGAAAGTAATATTTGGGTGGGAGTAAAAGGATTTCTTTAATGATGCCAAATAACTTAATTATTTTAACTAGGCTGGGGGTGGCAGCCATTTTCAGACTATTTCGATCTCCTTTCAAAGAAGAGCTCCATATAAAGATATACAAAATGATCAAATTTTAAAACTAAAATGTATGAATTTTTTCTTTGCCAAATGAAAGCTGACAGCTTAAGATACCGTATCTTAAAATATAAGTTAAATCTGGTGGTTAATTTGTGATTAATTTTTTGACCCCCCAGCCTCCTTAATTAAACATCAAGCAGAAGGATTTATACATTTTTAAAACAAAGTTAATATTTTGAGAGAAAAAGCTCTTTTTAAATGATGACAAATAGCAGTAATTATTTTTTTAGTTACCGTAACTTAAAGTAGAATTTTTTTTTTCACAAAATCTTTATTTAGTAATCGAACCAAGTATTATCTACATGTAGTTGGAAATTTCATTAAAAAAATTAGAAGTCGGTGGTTTATTGAGAATTGACTCTATTTTTAGCCCATATATATTTATATATACCCAGATTTGTGTGCTTATGTGATAATTGATTTATATTCAGGTGGGAAAAAAACCTGCAACAGGTTGAACCAGTTTCTAAGAAGAAACTTAGATCCAGCACATATACACAAGAAGAACCCGAGTGTTCATTCATAGGGAATCAGGATGTGTGGATGAAACATATCGGGGAGCTTTTTGTTTACCTTGATTCATCCCTCATATGAACGTTAATAGACAGGGGCGTAGTATCCGGGGGGGCCTGCCCCCCCACCTTTTTTTCCAGCCTTACTTACACTATAGGAAATTGATATTGAAAGCCTGGCCCCCCCCCCCCACTTTTAGAAATGTACCGAAAATGTAGTATAAGAATTGGTACTAAAAGTAGTTGACACTGAGAAAAAGTTTACCTAAAACCCCCCCCCCCCCCCCCCCCCCCCACGAAATAGGATTTTCGACTTTGCGGCAACTTTTACCTTTTTTTTCTTTTTTTTTTTTTGCTTGTCAACTTCTTCAGGTAAGTAAAAAAAAATTTTCTCTGCCTGGCCCCCCCACTTTCAAAATCGATGCTACGCCACTGATAGAATCTGATAAACTGTTTCTTTTTTCGGTCATTTTTCTTAATACGTTTAACTTATAAATTTATTTAACTTTTCTTCATTTTTCATAACTATTTTTTTCTATTGAATTCAGTCAGGAAATATTATACACCCATCATTTACTCAAACACAAAGTTGATTGAGATTTTCATATTGTTACTGCTTCCATCTAAATATTTCGAAGATAATGTAATACTCAAGAACAAAGTGCATTTGCTTTCTGTATTTTTTATGGATAAATATGCATAAATAATTTAACGAGAAATTTTTGAATAAGAAAACTTACTTATTATAACAGCAAAGAAGTATACATGTAACCTCTCCATGTTTATACTCTTGTCTGCCGCAATACCTCTGTAAAAATACTGATAAAATCCTTTACATTAGTGATATACTGCATAAAATTAATTAAAAAGGTGAAAAGAAAACTGGAGGTTATTACTAAGTAGGCTATATTTAATCACATGTATCTAGATTTTGAAGATTGATAGTTAGCGTTTCACTGCACACAGCAGCGGGTGTCCGAGAACTAGGGAAGTAGTGTAATAGATTATGTACTAAGCTGTAACTACATGTAGGAAAATTGATCCAAAAGATATGTCACAACATTAACAAAATTGCTGCAAATCGACGTAAAAAAGCAAAACTTTCAATGATGGAAGCCATGTATTTTCAAACAGACCTGAAGACTTCAAATCAACATGATTTATATTATTAAAATATCGCATTATATACGATCGCGAGGTTGTACGGAAAAACAATTTGTCTAGAGTGAAAACTAATAATCACTGCCTTCTAAAATTCTCACTACTCTTTGTTACATTCTTCAATAAATATTGCAAATTTCAAATAGATATACGCATTAATGAACAAATTATGAGATTTTATATGTTGTGTTGATATAGAGCGCACAGAAGATAACGTCAAAGTGACTATATTAGCGTCATTTTTTTTTGTTTAGAAAAGTTAAACATGGAAGAAGGAATTCCATTGATTCACATTCCTCAGTTTCCTTTTATTCATCCATCAACAGTAGAAGAATAAATCATGCACATACATTGGGGCCTTCTGAAGTTTTATTACTAAGTTATGGACAGCATTCTCACTATCATTCAACTAAAATGGCAATTTTAAACCGACGGTCTGCAGTGACAGCGTTTTTCGCTATTACCATAATTTTTTGCCCGTTTTCTACCTGCGGACTCGATCAAAGAGACTTCGCTAAGAAAACCCCCCATTTCACTTGTATACTAAAAATCTGGTGATATTTTTTCTAATTTCCAGAAATCAACCAAATGCCTTAAAATTGAATTTTCAGAAAGACGACAAAATACTAAGTAGACTATGGAATGGAATAAAGAAAATTTTTACCCCAATCATATGTATTTTAAACTTTTATTTCGAATTAATATTTGTATATTCTCTAAGAAAACACTGGGGTTTTTTTTAAAGTGCGCCCTAGGACCCTACCCTGTGCGTATTCAAGCACTATAAAATCTTTATTTTGTTTATATTTTACCAAAAACATTAAATACATGCGATCTTCTGAAGATTTGACAGTAAGCTACGAACATAAATTCTCACCCTCATTCAACCTAAACAGTAATATGATAAATAAACATTTAGTTAAAGTTTTGCTTAATGCATCCATTATTTTTCGAGAAAAACGCTTTGTCCACGTTTTTACCGGGCAACCCTCGTATAATAGTTCCTTTACAGAAATGGAAAAAGAACGAAGAGTTTGACTTTGAAATACATTTGTCTTTGTATTTTTTGCGCGGTTTTCGTCCATTTCTTTTTACAAAGTATATTATTATTACTTATATTCCAATGATATGATTTAAAATGCATTCATAAGACAAGATAGAATATAAATATCGCACTTCTCGTCTTATTCCAAATATTCTAATGCTTTAAGATTTCATACTTCACGTTATTGTTTTCGATCAGTTTCTTTTCCCCTATTTATGTTTCCATGAACGAAGTAGGGGGCGACATATTGCGATTGTATGCATGAAAATTTTCTCCAGGCTGTTTCTCGGAGATGGCTGGGACAATCTTCCTGAAACTTTCCTCAAAAGATGATCAGTAGTTGTAGTTTTGTAGTGAGGACGCGCTCAGCCTGAGAATGACAACAGTATCATGGAAAGTTGCGAAAAGTGACGAATTTTGTCTCTTTCCTAACGAAGTCGGGCGACATGTAACAGTATTGCTATTATTATATGAGTTCATCATGTTCGGTTTTGATTCCTACACTATTCCGAACAGTATCGTAAAAACCATAAATATATGAACATAATATTTCATCATTTACGGTAGTGATCTAGGGGCCTGTTTCACAAACATTTCCTAGGATATGTCGTAAGACATAACTTAAGATATGCCTAAGTTATAACTTAGGAAGTTCCTAAGATTTGTCACAGCTGTTTCACAAAACAATCGTAACTTAACTTTATCCTAGGACATTTCTTAAGCCGTGAATAGCTGTGTGTAAATAATAACCCACATAACTAAAAATCTTTAACATGTATTGTAAGAGTATAGTTTGAGTAGTCTTTAGTTTATGGTAGCTTATTTCAATTAGTTTGAAAAAAATGAAAGGGGGATAGGTGTGGATTGGGGGGGGGGGGGTATTGTGGTAAGGATTTCTTTTACTTTCACATAAAATGGACAAAAGTGTGATTAAACTGACCTACTCAATTATTTTCCTTGACAAGTTGCCCGATGGAACTAAGTACACCCTCACCTACATACCACATACGATATACATGCATGTATTTTTTTTTTTTAAATTATTCTCAAAGTAGGCATTTGCTTAATACAAGGTAACGTTCCTAGGCTAGTAAACCTTATCGAACACGGCAATCGTTAGATATATTTTTTTTTTCTTCATGAATGGGTGATTTTTCTTTGTCTGATCTTCGTTAGTAGTCCGTGCTTCGTTTAAAGCTTTCTCGCTCACAAAAAAACAATGTCTCGACAGAAGAGGAACCCCAATTTCACGAATGCTGAAATAACTATTCTTATAGAAGAAGTAGAAAGAAGAAAAGATGTTCTTTTCTCCAAGCACAATTCCACCGTGACTAATCAAGCCAAAAAGGGGGAATGGGACCATATTTGTTCTAAAGTGAATTCGGTCAATACAAGTTACATTAGGTCAGCAGAGGAACTAAAGAAAAAGTGGAGTGCCATTTGCAGCGAAGGTAAAAAGAAATTCGCAAAAATTAAAAGGGAACAGAGAAAAACTGGAGGTGGTCTTTTGCCGGCAGACTGTACTACAACCCCACTAGAGGAAAAAATACAATCTATTTTGGGTGAGACATCTACATCCGGAGTTGGCATCGACACTCTTGCACAAAGTGAACGAGGTTGGTGTCCACTAATACTAGTATTACATACGAATATCAAATCTTTTTTAAATTCTAAAATTGATTGGGGCACTTGTCCATAATTTGTTAGTTATTAACAAGTTGTAGCGTGTTCTAGCATCTTTTTTGCCAATTCTTCTAGTCATATTTGTATTTTTCCTCATGTTTATTAATATCCTTGTAAGGGATATATTCAAATATGGGCATGTGTAACTTTTTTCTTATATGGTTAATTTGTTTAGCATTCTAAAAAATGCCCATTTACAACAAAAAGTTAGTTTTTGTACATGCAAAAACATAGCAGAGTAGACTCATGGATGGAGAAATAAATTATTAATTCTAAAAATGATTGTTATTTACTTCAGATTAACAACATACATTCACACACCTTCCCTCACCAGGCGCTGATCCAGAAATTTTTCAAGGAGGGGGGGGGGGTTGAAGTATTTTTCAAAAGGGGGGTTGAAGGCGAAAACAGTTAAAGCGTACGTTGTACACATACATAAAGTTAAATAACTCAATAGAATATCGTTACAGGGTCGAGTATGGTTTTTGAAAGTGGGACGTTGATCAATCTGGGAAAAAGTACTTGTATACATTACCAGAAAGTTTTTGAAAAAGAAAGGAAAATAAGTCTCCGAACCTGAAAATCCTATTTTGTAAAGGGATGGGGTTTTATTTTGTTTTTACAACCGAATTTCTTTATATATTACAACATTAGCCTTTCACCTTACATTTTCTATAGTAAACACACAACAAAAAAATTGGAACTTTCTTATTTCTCTTTCTTTTTTGCAAATCCAAAGAGGAGGGGGGGGGGGGAGGGTGGAGGGGTGGGGGTTGCAACCCCCGTAACGTACCCCCCCCCCTCTGGATCCGCCACTGCTCACCTACAAACACATCCTCACACACACACACACCCTAACATTAATATATATATAACGTATATAATTTATTTATTATAATATTTATAACTTTTATTTTATTTTAAAGATGAGTCTAATGAAGTGGAAAGAAAAGGGGGTATCCTTACAGAAAGTCTATCAACGGACCAATCATTGGAAGTATCTACGGCTACAACAACAGTTACTGCTACATGTAGTGAAACTAGCAAACCTACATCAACATGCATTAATGGTAAACTCATCAATTCAATATGTATACTTGAGTCATCATCGCCTTTAAAACTGATCAATCACTGCACTGAAAATAATGCTTTGTTTAGTTCTAAAAAAAATGACATTCAAAAGATAAAAATAGCTCCCTGAGAAACACAGACCCCTTTAAAGATTGCAATGAAAGACATGTATCTGAAGAGAAAAATAATTTTCCTGATTTTTTTTAAAAATTATTTTCTTTCTATGTCTGACATATCTTAGAGTTCATGTACGAGGGCTGTTCGAAAATTATTTAGACATTGTGTATATCTTGTTTTCTACTGAACGTCTTTTGGTGAAAATTTTCATAATAACTACGAGAAAAAGAAGTGTTAGGGTTTGTTATTTCATTGGTATACATTTTTATGGTTAATTCAACCAGAGTGAAATCAAAAGCTCCGGACGACCATCAGTTATTACGTACGGTATCAATATCGTTGACTCGCGTTACATTTATCGGCACTGCATGAATTTAAGTCATTTTTTCCCACAAATGAAAATATTGCAATCGGGTAGCAACAGCATACATTTTTAAGGAATAGTTTAAGAGAGGAGACTGTATGATTTTTGTACTGTTATATTTAATAACAAAGAAGAAAAAAAGATAAAACGTTTCCGGATCGTTTTACATGCGAAACCATCCCTGGCTGACTTGACGTTAAAATGACGTTGTAATGCTGCTCCGGATTAATTTTAATAATTTCACCTAAATTTTTCTTATTATCATAGGAATTAGAAATTTTGCATAAGTGTTTTATTCGTTCTTTTTAAAATGTTGATGAATTTTCCTGAAATTATCTCCGTCCTTTATGGAGTAAACGTAATTGTCTCAATAATTTCCGAACAGCCCTCGTACATCCCAACCTGGAAAATAATCCTGCGCCTGTCTTATACATGTACTAATCTTCAAATGTGTAACATATTTTTATTCGTTCATTCTTTTTTACTTGTAGCACCAACTAGGAAGCGAAAACAGGACCTGCAATCACCATCACTTGAATTAGTGAAAATTGAAAAAGAAAGACTGGAAATAGAGAAAAAGAGAATGGAGCTTGAAACAGAAAGACTAGCAGTTGAGCAGAAACGGCTTAGTATAGAGCAGGGGAGACTGCAAATTGAGCAAGAAAAACATAATATTAAACTTTGTCAGTTGGGCATTATTTCTAATGCCACAGTAACACCTATCCAATAAATAAATTTTGTAGATGGTTTAAATGTTTTATATTTCATATTACACTCATTTATACACAAAAGTATTTTATTCTTCAGTACATGTCATTCATTAGTACATGTGCATACATTTTCTAAAACCTAGCTTCAATCAACTGTCTCCTATTGTCATTTCCATCATTTAGAGTTCCACGATATACACAGTCATTACCGTCATTAATAACAGGCCTGCCTTGTGGTTCTGGGACTCTGTTTTCAACACAAATGTTGTGCAAAACTGCAGTCGCCACTATGATGTTGCAGGTTCTTTTGGGTGAAAACTGTAAAGTACCACCAGAAGTGTCCATGCAGCGAAAGCGCATTTTCCACACTCCGAAACACCTTTCAATTACATTTCTCGTTTTTATATGTGCTGTGTTATAGGCATTCTCCTTGGGTGTGGATGGGTTCATAACAGGTGTAAGTAGAAATGATCTAAGTGGGTATCCACTGTCACCTAAAAGCCAACCTCTTGGGATGTTCTTGTTTTCAAAAAGTTGACAAAGGGTGGAATTGTTCCATACAAACGAATCATGTGATGATCCAGGCCACTTTGCTACTATATTAATGAATTTCAGTTTTGCATCACATACAGCCATAGTGTTTATAGAGTGGTAATTTTTTCTATTCACAAAGACGTGCTCTTCAAATGATGGGGACTTTATACCCACATGTGTACCATCTATTGCGCCTATAACATTAGGGAAGCCACAAATTCTTGAAAAATCATACATTCTATTTGTAATTTCATTCTCATCAATGGACATTTTTATATATCTTGGACTTATTTTGACCAATGATTGAGACACATCTCTGACAATTCTTGAAATGCTCGACTTACTTATTCCATGTAAGTCGGCAGTTACTGTTTGAAAGTTACCAGTAGCAAAGAAACGTAATGCAGCCATAAGCTGCAGGGATGGTGGAAGTGCATGAGACCTTCGTGTAGGCCTTGTGATGTCATTTTGTATCATTTGACAGATGTCCAATATCAAATGACGAGGCAGTCTAAACTTTGAAATTATCTCACGGTCATCCATATAGTCCAAAGGATTGTTTCTATCCCTAAACAACCTCTCTCTCCGTAACAGTCTCCGTTCGTTTATTATTAAATATGCAGCCGCCATATTTAGTTTCTTCCTAAGTCATCGATTTACCTGTCCTAAAGTTACGACATAACTTAGGAATATCCTAAGATAAGACGAGGTTAGTGAAACGGATAAGTAATGAACTTAGGAAAGAGTTCTTTCCTAACATAGAACTTAGTCCTAAGTAGGCTTTGTGAAACGGGCCCCTGATTTAGAACATTACACACTTTACATAATATGTAGTTCCTTATGATAGGGATTTCTAATGAGAGATACGAAGGCTGTTCAATAGATAATGTCCTGAGCTCTATGACATACAAAATAGAAATCATACGACATCAAGCTTGACTTTCTTTCATAATTGCATCTTTAATTTACGTAGCACTGTGAAGTCTTACTATGAAGAAATCAATGGAATATAGACGTGCAAAAAATGGGAACTATTTATAACTGAACTTATCTTGATGAATTCATTTTATTATCACATACTTTAATAAAATACTTATTGAGATAACATATATAGTACACCCTATTCTGTAGTATATTATCTTTGGTGCCATCAATAGTCAGTCACGTGATAAATGCATAGTTTGTGTACTGAACGGAGGATTATAAACAAATTTCAATTTTGCAAGGGCATACCCTGGTTGAAATAAAAAAAAAAAATTGTAACAATTTATTTTTTGAGTACTTCGTAAGTTATCTTGAAAGTGGTGCTGCTTTATAGGGATACGGACACTGTTTCAGCTTAAAATGTTAAATATGTTTAAAATTTCATTAAATTTAGAAACGGCCACTATGATCTATAAAATATTCCCGAAAGTGAGTAACATAAATCCATCTTAAAAAGTAATACGATTAATCATATTTATTCTGATTACACTAAATACACTAAAAGCTCATTTACAACAAACATTTTGTTTTGATATTTGCAAAAAACAGGAAAGTAGACTCATTCGTGTAGAAAATAAACTATTTGAGGACGGTGGAAGACGATGGTATTAATGAATTTTGTTTCATGTACATGTATTTTATTCAACAGAAGATTGAACTGAATAGCCTTCATCTTATACCATTATATGATATTAATGACACTTCCTATTTGAATTTCTACATCTCTAACGTTTTGTCAGTATATACTTGTTTCAAAACACAAGGTGACCATTAAAGTTAGCTTTTTTCAGTCAAATTTTTCTTTAAAGCTGTGTAAATTATCCCCAAAATAATGCCTATCAATTTAACAATTTGTCTTAATGTCAATCATACATCATCAGTGATAATTTGTTTAATTTTGGCAAGCATCACATTGGATGTTGTAAGTCCTTGTCGCCAAGGAGGGTAACCATTTTTGATGCCTATTATATGATATTTGTTCAAATCTGCCAGCTTATCTGTCTATAAAACAGGCATTGATTGCTGTAAATTTCACATTTTCTTTGCGATTCTTAACGAGTTTTAACAGTTTAATGATCAATATTTTGTAATATATTACTGGAGCAAAGATATTTATCATAACGATTTGCAACATCGTATTTTAAAATTAGGACCATATGTTACGTATTAAGGGTTTACAAGGGACAGGAATGCTAAATCTCTGACGCTTTATATCTCGAAAAGGGGAAAAATAATTTATTAACCAATATTGAACAAAAGATGGTCAGAATAATGTTCAAAAGAATATGCATACTCCAATTTTTTTTAATAATGGCCCCATCAAGGACTGCTAAATGTGGCTCCTAGATATTTCTATTCAACATATTCGAAAAAAAAATTCTCTGAATAGGTGTTGAGCAAAACTTCTTTAGAATGACAAGACTTTTCATTTGATATCAAGAAAAGGGGCTGACTCCGCTCAAATGAGCCAAAAGTCTTCAATTTTTAACTCTTTTTAAAATGATTAATATTTTGAAAAGCATTCATGAAGCAAAGTGCAGCACAGTTAACATTACAAATGGAAATATCGGCAATTTTATAAGATAAAAAATACATACTTTTTGAGAGTGAGCGATTCTTTTAAGGACTCCACTGATATAAAAAAAAATGTAATGTGGTTCAAATCTACATGTTGGGGACATTTAGATTTTTAATTTAAACTTGTCACGTGATGTCGACGTCACGTGATTTTAGCAATTATACTTGCAGTTTAGAGGTCATCTATGAAAAACTGCGAACGATAGTATTGTTCTCCCGCCTACCTCTAAGTCAATTTTCAAAAGTTAACATATTTGATTAATTTTTTTAATCTTTTATAGATAATTATATGAATTTTCATAAAACATTACTTATTTGGGAAAACAAAGAGAGATAACTCTAAAATTTTGTCATAAAAATTCCTTTTTACAGGTAATATGAAATGTTATTTCACAAATTTATGACAAAGCTTTTTGTGTGACACGGGGGAAAATATGTTTATTGACAAAAAACGATAAAAATGTTTATTTTCCACTAATTTCAAAGCGATTTACAACTGAAACATTATATTTTATTGATATATTCATGTTTTATTTATTTGCCTTAGACAAAAGAAAAGATTTAATAAACATTTAATCATATCCAAGACTATTTCAAAATATGGTGATGCCTGAAACTCCGATTACAATGGAAAATATCGTCAACCCTCTTTTTCAAAAGCTGGAATAATGGATAATTTACTGTTAAGCGCTGATGTTAAGACAATTCATTAATTACCATTGAACTGTTCTTTGTATTAAACAAAGATTATATGGCCAAATTGCTATTCATTTTGAATTAAATGGTTCCAAAATTTAGGCGGGAATCGAGAGTTAGCGTGCGTATTTCTTCCAATATTGCAAGGGCACAATCAAGTTGAAAATCTTAATTTAATTTATAATACTTTTCAAAACTATATGTAAGTGCTGCGAACCTACATGTATATGGATTCCTTTATTTAATGGCTAAAATCTGATTTGTTGTACGACACGATGAATATATATTGCTGGTCAGCTTCAATAATTACAGCTATAATCAATTAATTTACAAGATTTCATGAGGTTCGCAGCACTTTTAAATTATGTTAATGCTTTTTGAATTTATGTGCGAAAACTTAACAAGATACATTGAGGTTATGCCCTTGCAATAAATCGATTTATTAGGGCTCTTTCATTACTTTTTCAATGAATCTGCATACAAACACACGACAATATCACTTGTCTGCAGAATGTACGGACAGTTTATTTATAAAATACTAAAATATACATCGCACCCAAGTTAACAGCCTTTTATTTTAATTATATTTTATTTGAGAACAAAAGACATTTTTCATTGTTCAAAATGTGACTTGATCAGCCTCTCACTGTGTCATTTTTGCAAGATAACGTCACATTGACAAGTGCATTGCGATCGATGCATCGTTTATAAACTGATGTGTGGGATATAACAAAGGACAAAACTGCATGTAATAGTAAGTTTGTATGTAGTTTACAGCTATTCAGTTTTTTTAAAGAGCAAAAATTTTCATTTTGTTTTATTTTGAAGACCTCATCTTATGTGTGACGTCATAATAAACATTTTCCGTACAAATTAGGCCGCCGCCTTACTTTAATCTTAACTGTGCTGCGAGGTATTCATCGTTAGGATTTGCAACAAAATATTATAAACTTTTGATCAAATGTTACTTAAAAAGGGGTCACAATGGACCAGAATGCTTGATCTTCGACGCTTTATATTTCGAAAAGGTGGAATATTTTTATTATAAGCCATGTTAAACAAAAGATATTTTTCAAGATATTGTTATATAGTACAAATCGAAATTTTAATTGGTTTAATTCTAAAGTTTAATGAAAAAATATTATACATATTAAGCTACGTTTACACTATGTTCCCGGCAGCCACGGCAATCACGTTTCAGACCACCGTGGAAAAAACGGGACGGGCG